AAATATGAACAATAAACTCTGGATAACTTAATAACCCTTAACTTAACCTTTATTTATGGATTACACTGCTAATAACTCTAGCATTCTTTAACAAGCTAATTTCTTGGTCCCTTTAAGGTTTGAGTAATTTAGAGTTTACTGTAATATGTTATGTTATTTGTTAATTTTTTGATGTTATTGTTGTGTTGTTTTGTGTTGATAGATTAGATGACTTGATTTACTTTTATGTCGGGGTCTTTAATTTAAAATGATTATTGTTAGTTTCATTACTGAACCTGACTACATATAATCATACACTAAAATCTAAAGATTCAGTTTTCAAATAAAAATAAAGGTATATCTTATTGTGATCATAAATTTAACTTTGTTTTTTTATAAAGAATTGTTAATATAAACTTGCAACAATAAATCTCACAAAGTAATTTTCTTATTTGTATCTGTTTAGTCACATTTTTTAGTTTTCAAATAAATAAATAGAGTACATAACAAATTAATGTGTATTAAGTGTATTCAATAATAATTTTGTTGCAATTTTAGGTTGAATTCCTTCTCCTATGACTGATATGATTCCTACATAGCAGAATTTAGTAAATGTTCTGAATGGTGATTGTATTCAAAAAGCTAAAACAAAGCTTGATAATCTTCATACCATTTAATAAAAGATATATAATAGTGAAACAATATTTCGAATTAAATTGTTTTTATAAGTAATTTTAAATATAAAATTTTTTTGTAGTTTTTTTTTAAGTTTATTTTTTTATTTTATCTCAAGAAAATTTTTTTGCTTGTTTCTTAAATGAATTTCTATATTTTTTATTCTTGGAATTATTGTTTTAAACAGATATATTGCCAATTTTTGCATTACTTTTTATATTTTCGTTATCTTTTTATATGTGAATGAAAACCATTTATACCTTATCACTTTTTGTACAATCAAGACGGTTTCCATTTGCATTAAGTATCGATTGCACAAACAACAGGTTTAAAAATTTATTTGCCTAATTCCAAGGTAAAAACAGCTAAATTGTATGAATTAGTTAAGAGTTTTTTTACAAAAAGGCTTTTACAAAAAATATCAAACAGATAAAGCTAACTTATTTGAAATAACTAGGTCTCTTAGGCCCATTTTTAAACAAATCCTTATGGGAGAGTTAAAATATTATTATCATAAGTTTCCTGAAACACCTGAAGAAATGTTACGCAACTGTCTTATATGCTAAAGATACTTTTATAATGTAGAAAGTATTAAAGTAAATAAGTAATAATGTAATAAGTAAAAATACTAAATAGTTCTAAAGTATTGTAAATTAAAAATCAACCTGAAGGCAAGAACTTTGGGTAGTCAGTAAAATACAAACTGCATACTTTTTTAGCGAACCAAGACATTTTAATGAGCACAACAGTCATGATATTTAAAACATTTGCTCATCAATTTTTTAAATTAAATATAATGGTCTTCGATATATTTTATTTAAATTAGACTGTTTTCTTTTAAATTAATTATAATTTAACAAGCAATAGATTTATGGTTTGCAAAAAAGTTTGCATTTTACCAACTACCAGAATTTTAAATTTATTTATTTTTTGCCGTTTAATAAAATAAATTAAAGTGTAAAGAGTAAATTAGTAACAAGTTTGGAAATAATCTGGTGTGGATTAGACCATGACCCATATTGTACGGGTCATGACAGCTAGTTTATTATTATTAATATATTAGCATCAATTAGTTAATTAATAAAAAAATATTCTAAAAAAAATACTTGTTTCGTGTTTCCAAGTTGACAATTCAAGAAGTCAAAAAAAGAAATGAATACAAGACATACAGGTAGCAGAAATTTGCTGAAAGATATCAACACAAATTTATTGAAGTTCTCATAATACTTCAAAAAAATTCTATGGGTCATTATTTTGACAATCTTGAAAACGTAATCTACAAATTTGCATGACGATTATATGTATACTTTGCATTTATTTGGTATGATGTGGTTAATCATATATAATAAATGTACCTTATTTATGAGACAACTTATAAGCTCTTTACATTTCATTTTGGTAGAAGTGAAATTATTTGTAAATTTATTAAACAGGGCTGCCACTATAATTTTGGAATAAAATTCCCTGAATTTTTCATAGAAATTTTAAAAATATTTTATTTTTTCATAATATTTTTTATCAATTATACTCGCATTAAACTTCAAGATTAATCCCCAAAAAATTTTTACTTACAATGTTTAGCCCGATGTTATTTTAAAGAAAACAGATAGCTTGTTTTACACATACAAAGGAAACAGATAGCCTGCTTTCCACATACAAAGGAAAATCTGGAATGTCAAAATATGTCTTTCCATATACAACATAGATGAGTATTTGACTTTACGAAAATCCCGGAAATTTTTTTCCTATGATAATCCTGGAAAATCCCGGAAAGTTATTTTCTTAAAAAGTGATCGCATTTAACTGACAAACGGAATTTAGATTATTTTAAAACGGAATTTAGATTAACTTTTTACGAATAGGAATTTCTAATATTCGAAAAAGTTTTAATGAATTAAAAAGCAAAAAAAAAAAAAAAGAAAAAAATTGTTACGAAAATTGATCTTGTGAAAATTTAAAATTTTAGAAAACGTATTTATTTAAAATTTATGCAAAAATTGTCTTATGTAAAATTTTATGTAAAAATATATTAATTTTTTTTCAAATTAATATCAAAAAACATACGGAAATTTCTGGAAAAATTAAAGGTGTTTTAAGTGAATTTCCGGAATTCCGGGAATTTCTGGAAAAAACTCATCTATGAGAATTTCTATTTTATATAGAAAACAAATAATTTGTTAGATAATAAAATATTTAAATACTTTGTACAATCACATACCATTTTAAAAAGTAACTAAAATTAGGTCTTTGAAGAAAATATAAAAAAGTAATACTAAACATAGAGAATGTCAAAATTAATCTGAATAAAAACTCAAAAGAACAACCAACATTAAAAATATTTTAATTAGATAGATAAAATTTAGTCTTTTTAATAGTTATTTATTATTTTCAATATTTATATCAATAATCAAATATAGTTATTTTTAATAATTAGAAAGGTAAACAATAAAAACTAATACTACTTATAACACAAAAAAAACTCACATAGTAAAATGTTCAATTGTTTTTAATTCTAAAAAATCTAAAATATTATCTTTGAATTTGTTAGATACCATGAAATTATTGATAATTTGAAGAAAGACAAGTGACTTTTCTTTCATGTTTTCATTAAGAATATTACTGTTTATAAAGAGGCCCCTCTCAACTGATGTTTTACCATGACCTAATGTAAAAATGAGTATTCTTAGTGAAAACATAAAAGAAATGTCACTTGTCTTTTTTCAAACTATCAAGAATTTCATGGTATCTAACAAATTAAAGGCTCATCATTGTAGAAATCAACAATGAAATGATAAAAACTTTTATTTTTTGGTTGCTTAATTTTGGAAAGACACAACACTTTTCCATTTTTATTTGGCCGTAATAATCTCTCTACTACTATTTACTTAATACTCTGCCTACTATTTCAACATATCGAGCAAAATGCATAGGTAAAGTTTTCACATTAGTGACAGTTAAATTATCAGCTCTTCTGCAAGGATAATCATTGGAAAAGATTGTATGAAGATTGTATGCCCAGATAGTATGAATATTATATGCCTAGATAGTATGAATATTGTATGCCCAGATAGTATGAATATTGTATGCCCAGATAGTATGAATATTGTATACCCAAAAAGAGAGTTTTGATTTAGATTGCTGATCCAAAACCAAATATTTAGATCTATTTGACAATTGTAAAATGAATCACTCAGGCTTTCATAAAGCAAAACAATACAAAAAAGAGATTACTTGATATTTTCTGTTAAAATCAGTATAAGTAAGCTTAAGTAAAAAATTAATTAATATTACCAAGTTTTGAATAAAAATTAATTAATATTACCAAGTTTTGAATAAAAATTAATTAATATTACCAAGTTTTGAATAAAAATTAATTAATATTACCAAGTTTTGAATAAAAATTAATTAATATTACCAAGTTTTGAATAAAAATTAATTAATATTACCAAGTTTTGAATAAAAATTAATTAATATTACCAAGTTTTGAATAAAAATTAATTAATATTACCAAGTTTTGAATAAAAATTAATTAATATTACCAAGTTTTGAATAAAAATTAATTAATATTACCAAGTTTTGAATAAAAATTAATTAATATTACCAAGTTTTGAATAAAAATTAATTAATATTACCAAGTTTTGAATAAAAATTAATTAATATTACCATATTTTGAATAAAAAAATAGAATAGATTTCTGCTAAAGCTTTATCAGATGATCTAATAAAAAAGCTTTTTGGATAAAGACTGTACAAATTTAGCAGCAAGATACTTTTAACCTACACACCCATCATTGTTACAGCCCTCTGACTCATATTTGATAAGTTGAACATATTGTTTTGTGACCTTTGACCCATATGACTTTTTATCTGTGCCATTTACCAGCCATTTTTCAGACAATAGATCATTTTTTATTAAAATAAGATGTAATTCATTTTTCATTAAAATTTCATTAAAATAACATATAATACTAGTAAAAAAAATTTCATTAAAATAACATATAATACTAGTAAAAAATTTCATTAAAATAACATATAATACTAGTAAAAAAAACCTAAAAAAAGGAATATTATTTTACTATAAAATATTTTAAAATATTATGAAATAGCACAAAATTAAAAATTCCCTGATTTTTAAATATACCAATCCTTTTCCCCCTGATTTTTCCTGATCATATCTAAATTTTAATGACCTTCCCTGATTTGGTGGCAACCCTGTTTTAACCTGGCATGTTTTTAACACTGCATATTTCAGGGATTGTTAACCATAAAAAAACCTGAAATAGAATATAAAAACTAATTATTTATAAAAAATATATATATAAAATATATTATACAAAAATAATAAACCTTTGGCACAGTTGGAATAATTTTCGAAGGCTCTAAACCAGTGGCTAAAGGTGTTTGTGGACCATTTACAAGTAATTCTCCAAGATAATACAAAAGTTTATTTGCACGGTTTTGTGTTGGTTGTACATGCATAAGCTCAGGATAATTGCTTATAAAGTCTGTTCTGACATTTCCACTTAGAAAATCAGGATGTCGAAGAACATTCAAAATAAAAGGAATATTTGTCTAATAAAAAAAATCAAAACAAATTAATAGCACAACATCCATAAATAACATAATACTTAGAAATGTAACATTTAACAGTGTAACACTTATTAATGTAACACCTATTAATGCAGCTCTTACTATAGTTACATATGTTAATGCAACACAAATATTAATGCAACATTTAAATAGACAATAAACAACCCCCAATTACAGAAAAGTACAGTTAAATTTAAAAAATTTTTAATCTGATTTCTTGATATTGTATTTTAAAATAAAAAGTTTAAAAAGTTATATTTTTGTTCTTCTCAGCATCTTTAATACCATTAGAAAAAAAATCTTGAAATCATAATCTTCTGATGTCATTAGAAACAAAATCAATTTTTATTCCCCTCATCTTCTATAAATTAAGAGGTTTTTTTCTCATAAAGGGTCGTCCATAAAGTAAGTACACTTTTTTAAATTTAGTGTCTCCTTTCTTTTATAACTGACTCACTGCCCTCCCATCCCATATATGCTATTTGCAGACCCCCTCTTCTCCTCCGTAAGTACATACTTTATGGACGATCCCTAGTTGTATTACGTCAAACAAGTCAAATCTAAGAGTTAATGAGCCTGTAAGAACAATGATCTAATCCCAAAGATGTCTAAATATTTTAATTTATTCATATGATCACATAAATATGATCTATTAATTTATTAATTAATCTAATTATATATAAAAATATAATATAATTAAATATAATGAATAATTAGCACATTAATGGCAGATAATTAGGTTATAATTTTTTTTTAAAAAAACATTCCACTTTCATGAAAACTCTTAAAAAAAAAGAAATTAATATAACCAAATTATTAAATAACCAATTACTTATATATATATATATATATATATATATATATATATATATATATATATATATATATATATATATATATATATATATATATATATATATATATATATATATATATATATATATATATATATATATATATATATATATATATATATATATATATATATATATATGTATATATTTAAACTGATGTTAAATTAAAAATTTATAAAAAGATATAGACTCACTTTCACACCACGTATTCTAAATTCTCTTAAAGATCTTTCTAATTTTGTAGCGGCATCTTTAAACTCATTAGCATGAGCAATAACTTTGACTAATAAAGAGTCATAATGAGGTGAAATAATTGCACCAGTAAATGCTGAAGCACTATCTAACCTTATACCCATTCCTTCTCCGCTGCGAAACACCTAGAAAAAAAATTTAACTGTTAAAACATTTTTAATTGTTATGTTGAAATAGCAAATTAAAAAAAGATTTTATTAGATAACATTTTAATATATTTGGATCTTAAATAAAATTAATATTTTACTTAAACTTTTTGATTTCAACAATAACTTTATTTGAAATGTTTTTTTTATAAAAACAATAACTTAATTAGAAATAGCCTTCTTTCTTGAGAGGTTAATATAGTTTTAGAGCAACCTCTACAAACTTAGCTTCTTTTGAAACCCTGGTAAATATAATTAAAGAATTATTTATACATTTAGGACCCCCCACATAAAAAGTTAAGGATCATGGAGATGACTAAAAAAAAATACTATCAATGTTATTTTCACTAAATAGAATGTTAATAAATAGCAAAAAATCTTTATGACCCAGAAACAAAGATTACAAAAAAGATATAAATCTAATATGCTTAAATGTATGTAAATATCTCTACATAAATGTATGTATAGATGTCTACATAAACATTTGTAGATATGTATACATAAATATATGTAGATATGTATAGCAATAAATAAAGTTGTAGTGTATTTGTAGTAAATAAGTTGAGTAATAAATAAAGTTGTAGTGTGATAACGGGAAACTTAAACTAATATGGTTAAAGAAATTTATAAGAAATATTCTATTCAGACATTGAAAGTAACTTTAATTCATATTAGAAAAAAAAGTTTATCAGTTTAATGTACATCAAGGTTAGGGCTAAAAATATGTTGAAACTAGGCACTCCTGAATAACTCTCAAGACATGAGAGGGGAACAAATGGTCAACAACAATTTTGATCCTTGCTTATGTTTCACAACTAAATTTGTAAAGCATGAACTATACGAAGATGTGATCATGCCAAAAAAAATTTGATCATGTCAAACTGAATTTAATCTCAGTACAACAAAACTTTGCCGACCTTTAGTCGGTTAAGTAAAGCACTGTTATGCAGTGCTTTACAAAAACACATATTTAATAGTATTTTCATACTAAAAAAAATATTTCTCTAAACAACATAATGGTTGTTTTTTAATTTTGGATCATGCCTCTAATGAATATAAACAAAAATTAGTTTCTAGAATGTTTAAAACCAAATATTAACAAACAAGCTAACCATGCCATTATGATGGCCACTGTCTAATTCAGACTTTTTTTTCTTTTGACTTTATTTTAAAACTAGATACTTGTACAATTTAGACTAGATACTAGATAAAATTTTAAATTTCATTTTTACATGGTATCACAATATAATTATTAACTCTTTACTTAAATGATTTTTTTTTTATTTATTTTTTTTTTAATTATTCACCTCCCCAAGGCCCAAGGGGGCCACTACAGTCAAGGAGGCTACTCATTTTTTTTTTTTTTTGTTGTTGTTGTAAATTGTGGTACAACCCTCTCTCAACTCTTTAACTCCGAAACACAAACTTTGACAAGCAAGACCGCTGCGCTGAGAAATTAAGTTGAGCGCGGTACTTCCAGGGATGTGGTGGGAGTCGAACTCCGAACCGCTCGCTTACAAAGCGAGCGCTCTTACCACTACACCACTACCGCATATGATTTTGCGGTATGCATATGAAATTTGCAACTTAAAAAGATTTTTAACTGATGATGACTACCACTACCGCATATGATTTTGCGGTTTTGCATATGAAATTTGCAACTTAAAAAGATTTTTAACTGATGATGACTAGCTTGTAGCAAAAATGTTTTAAAAATGAAAAAAATTCTTTTCTTTTTTTTTTTAAATTATACACTTTTTTGCTTAAAAGATATTAAATCACAAGATTTTAACAATCATAAAGTAACTTGCATGGCTGCACCTGCTGATCTACAAAAAGATACCTCTATTCTTCCAGTATCAGGAATAAAATTATTTGAAGGATCTTCTGTAGTTACTCTGGCTTGTATTGCATACCCTCTGGATATTATTTTTTCTTGAGAAAGGTTTAACTCCTCAAGACTGTTACCTTCAGCTACTCCTATTTGTGCACGAACAAGATCAATTCTAAAAATAATTTGATTTATTAAAAGCTGATTCAACTATTTTACAAAATAAAAATAACAACTTAGATTTCTAATATTAGTACCATGCAGAATTTAATATGCAGCAATATAAAATATTTTTTTACCCAGTGATTTCTTCTGTCACTGTATGTTCAACTTGAAGTCGAGCATTAACTTCAATAAAATAATGGTTTCCATTCTCATCAAGAAGAAACTCAACTGTACCAGCATTTCCATAATTAACTGCTTTGCATAATCGAACTGCACACTCAGTTAATGTCCTTCTAGTTTTTTCATTGAGCAAAGGAGCAGGGGCAATTTCAATTACTTTTTGATGACGCCGTTGTACTGAGCAATCTCTTTCAAATAAGTGAACCACGCTACCGTAGTGATCACCAATAATCTGTACTTCTATATGACGAGGACTTTCTAAAAAAAAAGCTCATAATAAATTAACATTTCCTTAAGTCAGTTTTTTTTATCTTTTTTTACTAAAAAGTTAAAATAAAATGAATGAATGAATGAAGAAGGAACAAAATTAAAGTTCAGTGGAAATATTAAAAATTATTATCAAAACATGATAATTTTAATTTCTCAAAAAAGACTACCAAGGCAGGTTGTCTGCTTTACTTATATTATAACGACTCCGAGATACTAAGTAAAATGGAAAAGACGAGATTTGATGACAAGCTAAATTGTAATTGATTTACATTTATTGTTTAGTTTTAATTAAAATTTAGTTCAAATGTTTTGTTTTTTTATTAATTTTTTCAAATAAGTTGGGAGTTGGTACTCCCTTTAAATAACTGTATAAGACAATACAAATACATATGAATACAAATACATATGAATACAAATATGCATAAAATTCATATTCAATAAAGTTGAATTAATCTAACGTTAAATAGTATTCAAAACTTTTTAAAAATAACTGCTGAGCATAAAATAATAATGGCATGACTTCAATGCCTCTAAATTGTTTAAGATGAGCAACAGTCTTTATTTTTAAGACAACAAAATCATTAATATTCCTATGATATTCATATCATATTCCTTTCATCAAATAAAAAATCTCTCTATTATATTACCTTTATTATGTGATATAAATTTGATTATGATAAAAAACTGATCAAGGCAAAAGTCAGCATTTATCTATAACAATATATGGAGGATATGAAAGTTAAACTTGTATATAAATTTAACTTTATATAAAATTGATATACATTTTTAACTATAAAAAAAGTTTCTAATATCACTAATTTCACATTTAATTATGTGTGTACCTTATTTATACAGTTTCAACTGGATTATCTTACCAATAAATTTTTCAACAAACATTGAACCATCTCCAAATGCAGCAGTTGCTTCTGATGTTGCCAGTTCGAACATTTTAGGTAGTTCATCTTTATTTCTTACAACCCGCATACCTCGACCACCACCACCATATGCAGCTTTCAAAATAACTGGGTAACCATATTTCTCACAAAAAGCTGCAACCTAAAATTAAATAATTAAAATATAAAAAATAATGTCAAAAAAAAATCAAGAATTTATGATTTCAATATGGATTCTATGCAAGCTTGAGTTTGGTTTGAATACTAATTGACATAACACCTTAATTTTTTGTAAATAGGCCTTTGTTATTTGCTTTTGACAAAATACATATTAATTGCGCTTTTAAAACTCTATAAAATTTAAACAATATTATTATTATTTTGTATTATCTTTATAATTTTCATTATTATTATTATTTAAGAATAAAAATTTATGAAAATATTTCAAAGTTATCTTAAATAATCAAACTGTGTAATGACAGATATTAAACTAAAAATAATCAATGCCATAGTCGACAAAGCCACAACAGCAGCAATATGACTTGCAGCAAGTAATACTGACACCTTTGACAAGTGACACTACAGACAAAAAACAGCCGAAATCATTAAAGTTGCACTAAAAATTCCCCTAAATGAAACTAGGCATCAAAATGATATAGAAGTAAGCTATGCAAAGAAGCAAATTGAGCTTCTAAGCAGAACCGCTTAGAAGCTCAATTTGCTTCTTTGCATAGTGCCATGACAAACCAACTACAAAGGCAACAGCAATAACAACATTAAAAACAACAGGAACAAAAACAACTGATTAGCTGGACCAGCAACAACCAATAACATTTGAGAACACACGCTTCTACTCTAATTGAAAAGTCAAGGTAAAACCTAATAATTGAAATAAAATTTTAAATCAAGCTGTTGCAGAAATGAAGACAAGAAAAGAGATAGAATCAAATTCAGTAATTGCAGGACTTCAAGAGTCAACAACAAAGAAGGATTAAGAACTAGTTAAAGAGTTTTTTGAAACCGTTAATGTGGATTTGAATAATATTGTACAAGTACGCCAATATTAAAAAAAAGATGAGCAATCTTTCTAGATACCAGAAAAAAGAACTTTTCAAACAAAAACCATTAAAAGTAATTCAGGTAGTTCTCAATTCAATCCATGCTCAACAAAATGCATTAAAAAAGTCAATAGACACATCCTTTTGGTGGATCATCCATCGATGAACTGGAACTGTTAGATGCATTGATACAATTAGATCTAGTAATGAGAAGAAATGTGACCGGATCTTAAAAGAACAGAGCTTGCAAATTAAATCTGCATGAAAGTATAAAACCAACACAACCAACTAAAACAAATAAAAAAAACAAGCGCCACCTGAACCCACCGTTTTTGAAACATAAACATTCTAAACACCAGTCAATTTTTACTCACTCAAAGTCAAACATATGCATAAAAAAAAAACTAAATTTTTGGGCAAATAATTCATGCTCTCTTAGCAATGCCAAGAGTGACGAGCTCATAGCTAGAACTTAAGCTGAATCAATAGAAAAAAAAAACAGATATACTATTTTTTGCTGTGTCAAGGTTCAATAAAACATCTGATACCAAACTAGCAGGCTTTCAAATTCACCAAAAAAATAGAGATGGACGAAAAGGTGGCGCGGTAATATACATAAAAGATGAATTTCCAGCTATGAAAACAATTATTTAATAACGTAACTCAGCAAGTATTGAACAAATATGGCACAACAAATTTTAGGATGTATTTACTGACCACACAACAATAACTATATTTTATTAGAACAAATAACGTACTCAATAAAAGTAGCCAAAGACAATTTAATATCTTTAGACTGTTTAGCAATACTAGTCTATGGGGATTTTAATTTTAGCTATACAACCTACAATGAACTAGACATTAGAGGCAGAAGAGCTAACACAGTCCACGTAGAGAAGGAACAACAAACTGACTTTAAACTTCAGAAATGTTTAGCTGAAAGCCATCTTCCTTAAGTGATGACCTTCGCAACATATCGTAATTCCACAAACAAGGATCCAAAGAGCACACTTGACCTTATTATTACGGATGACCAAGACAGATATGAGGAACTAGAAAAGGGTAACTTATTAAGCCATACACCCGCAGGCTAATATCACTGATAATTGGATCAATCACAATCAACTATACAAATAAAAAAAGCTCGAAAAATAAAAGATGCATCTGGAGTACAGCAGACTATAAAACTATTTCAACACAAACCTTTTCAGTGAATGATAACTACTCGGTTAGGTAAAAAATTACTACATCTGTCCAACAACATCTGCAGAGTAGTCCTCTTGGACATAAGTGTACAGATGATCTTCATCTGTAAACTTTTGTCTAAGATCATCTGTACTTTTATTTTATTGTCCAACATCATCTAGAAATTCATTGACCCCTAACAACATCTTTAAGAAGATGTAACTACATCTGGTAATTTTTCACCAAGTCAAATAACACCTGGAAGAATATCCTCTAAATGTAATTACATCTGCAAAAAATTTTATATTTAACTACATCAGGTTAAATTAATGCATTATTATTTAATAATTTTTTCCAGATGTAACTACATCCAAAAAAAACCATATGTGTAACTACATCTGGTTAAAATAACATATTATAATTTAATAATTTTATAAAATCCTTTAGCTATTTTTAATATAATTTAAAAGATGTAACTAAATCTGTAGAGCTTACAGATGTAGTTGTACAGATGTAGTTATTCTTAACATAATTGAAAAGATGCAAATACATCTGTAAAGTCTCCAGATGTAGTCGCACAGATATTATTATACTTAGATAATTGAAAAGATGTAACTACATCTGTAGTAATCATACACTTTTTAAACAGATGTTATTATACATCAATGAAATTTCAGATGTTGATGGACAGATGTAGTTGCACCTCATTATACTTATAGATGTTGTTGGATAGATGTTATCAGACAGCAAAAACTGATGTTTTTACCCTGACCTCTTTGTCATTATCAACAAGTACAACTAGGCAGTTGATTTACACATTCCATCTACTACAAAACTATTTATTGAGAAGAAAAAACTGTGGAACATGCTAGAGGTTAAAGGTATGCCTGACGTAAAAAATCATGTACTGAAACTCTTAGAAATAAAATGCGCTTGAATAAATTATCAATTCTATATATTGTGGCATATATTATGTAGACATTTTGGCATAAAACAAAATGGAGATGGCAAGCTTCGACTAAAATAAAAAAGTTATTTTTTCTTGGTATGCATTTATTCTTTTGTTTTAATCAAAAAAAATTTAACAAACATTTTTTTTAACATTCTCTTTAATATGAACACAACATGTCTTGGAGATTTGGAATCCCTTAAGGAGGCATTTAAAAATATAAGAGAACTCTGGAGCAAGTATCTTAAAGCAGGCAACAATTCTCACAAAGCAATAAAAAAACAAACATCGAATTGTGTCTAAAAATGTGAACAAGGTAGTCCGAAAAACAACCAAAGAATATGAAAAACAAACTGCCAAACGATTTAAATCAGCCCCTAAACTCTTACATGAACATGTAAGACATAAGCATGTCCCCCTAAACTCTTACATGAACATGTAAGACATAAGCAAATGACAAAAGAATCAATAAGATCTCTAGAAGATAATGAAAGTAAAATTACAACAAATAGAGGAGAGATTGCCCACATAATAAATATTTTCATTCAATATTTATTACAGATACAGACAACAAATACCAGAATTCAAAAATTGAATGGAAATCAAATGAATGAATTCTCAATGAAACAATTAGATACCTCAGAAAAGCTTAAAAACCTTGTTGAATCAAAATCCAAATGTTACGATGGAGTGCAAACCTAGGTGTTAGAAAACTGTTCCTCTGTTTTTGTTGTACCAAACACACTTACATTCCAAAAGTCTTTTGCTAAAAGTCAAATACCTGAATAATGGAGAAAGTTAAGTGTCACACTAATTTTTAAAAAAAGAAGCAAACGAAAAAAAACTAATTATCGGCTGGTATCTCTCACATCTGCCTCTTACAAACTAATGGAGAGTTTTGTTCACAATATCCTAATGAAGCATTGCCTAAAAAATAAAATAATCACCAAAAATCAGCATGGTCTTCTACTAAAGCCAAATTGTGCCACTAATTTATTAAAAGCATAAGACATTATCAAACACAATTTTCCTAGGTTATGCCATAGACGCCATCTATACTGATTTTGCAAAGGCATTTGACAAAGTATCCCACAAACAGCTCCTACATAAGCCTTAAGCATACGACAAATGTAGAACTTTAGTTGTGTGGATAGCTAACTGGCTTGCAAACCCACAACAGAGGGTAAAAATCGGTAATCATAAATCAGATATGAAGAAAGTCAAAAGTGGTAATCCACAGGGTTCAGTGCTTGGACCTCTTTTATATATTCTTGATATAAACAACCTACCAGACAATATAGCAAATCAAATTAAGATATATACTAATGACAGCAAGATTTTAGGCATATTAAAAAGCGAGGCAGACCCAGTAACGTTACAAATTGACATAGACAAATCAGTACATTGGCCTAAAAAATGACTCATGGAGTTAAACATAAAAAAATGCAAAGTAATGCATATTGGACGCCAAATAAACAAATCGACTCAAAACTACACAATGCTTAATCAATTAGGAAAAAGAAAATACTTGAAAGCAGCAAAAATGAGCATGATCTGGGAATATTAATTTCTCATGATTTGAAAGTAAAATGCCCATCACACTGAATGGCTTGGCTCTAACACCACTGATCCTGCTGGCACTAAAGACTTTAACTTCTGCGTTTCTCAATCTCTTACTCAGATAGTTAACTTTGTGACTCGTTTTCCTGACAACCCTAATCATTTACCTTCACTCCTTGACTTGTCTTGTCTCTGACCCTAGCTTATGTTCAGTTTCTCCCTTTTCTCCCTTAGGTGGTTCTGACCATGCAATGATCTCTATAAATCTTACTTCTTGTACTTCTTTTTTGGGCTCACCTTATCATCGCACCACCTACTACTACCCTAAAGCTGACTGGGATTCCTTTCGTGATTTTCTTCATGATGGTCCTTGGGCTGATGTTTTTTCTCTCTCAGCTGACAAATGCGCCT